AGAAAGAGAGAGAGGGTACGCAGGTCGGGGGAGGGAGAGGGACAAGCACACTACACTGAGGGGGGACTTGATCTCATGCAGTGGGGGACTTGATCTCATGACCCTGAGATCATGACCTGAACTGAAATCATGAGGCATGCAGGTGCCCCTGGATTATAATCATTTTTAAGGCCATTAAATAAAAAACAATTTCATTTGCCTATTTTTCTTTTTGCAGTGGATTAACATTAATAATCATACATAGGAGTTGTATTATATATTATTTCTTTTCATGCAAGTGGTATACATAATTTCAACAAAACAATAGTATTAGCAAAATATACAAAGCAATAGTATTGATAAATGAAAATGGTAACATTATATAAAAACTTAATGACTATCTTAGGGGAAGTTTGACATCAACTGTGCTGATATCAGTATCCAGTAATATGCTTTGCACTTTTCAAACAGGTTTTAAACATTCTCTGACTTTTGGCTGTTATTATTCACAGGAAAGTTTCATAAACATCATGAGGTAGATAAATGAATGTTCTCTTTCACAGATTGAAAGCAGTAGGAAGCAAAATTTTATTTTTTTAATTGTATGATGTGATTGCATTGCTCTCATCTCTTATTTACTATAGTTAAAACTTTAAGGCAAGGAAAATATTGAAACCTGTAAAAGGATGTTTATTGTATTTACAAAAACAGCTTAATCAAAAATTTTAATTTGCTGCATTTTAATGGGCTTTATGTAGTTTTATCTGCTTATAAAATAAATTTTCTAGTGTGGCAGTAAAAAGACCAAAGAGAAAAACAGACATTTGCTATATTAGTAGAATTCAAAATCTTTTGTTGGTCCTCATTTAAAAATAGTACAGATTTTTAGTTTATGCCATATTTAGGTTTTAAATTACTGCCAATTTAACTAGTTCTACAGCTTTGCCTCATTAAAATTATCCCCGAGTGTAGTTGTATATACTTTTAAGGGGTGGTGTTTGTCGTAATTATAAAACTGTTTTGGTCCAGTGATACTTTGTTGAAAACCATGTGAATTTGATTTATCTCACCTTTTCTTTCTTTTCTTTCCTCTTCTTTTCTTTTTCTTTCTTTCTTTTCTTCTTTCTTTCTTCTTTCTTTTTTTCTTTCTCTTTTTCTTTCTTTTTTTTTTGGAAGGAGAAACAATAGATTGGCAACAATCTAATTCCACTGACTTCTAGAACTGCAGTATTCCTGGCTAGTGACATCTCCATAACTCAGATGAGAGTAGTGGGGAGAAGATGAGATTAGCCAAGGCTTATTTCATTTTCATGACTTCATGAGGGGATGCCTTAGACATGTCCCCTTTCTCTCAAACAAACATATTAACAAAGTGACATATATATTCAGTTGAAAGGGTAGATTCCCATTAAGGTATTTTTGTTCTTGTTGTTGAATTATGAATTTCACTGAGAGTTGGTTAAACACTGCAAAAAATTTGGTCCAATCTTGGACCAAATCTTGCTCTATCATTAAAAACTAATGCTTTAGTTCTCATGGCACCCCAATTCCATCAGGATTCTACAGAGATTATGTGCTGTATTATGTTTACTGTCCGCTTAATGAATCTGACCTGTCTTTTAAAGCAATGCATCAAACAAATTGTAGTTTTTGTGTTTGTTTGTTTTAAATATGTGAGTATTACTGTAACATTTACAACACAGGAAGCAAAACCAAGTTTGCTTTTTTTTTATGCACAATATTTTTGCAAAATTCACAAGGCAATGCTATTGATAAATAAAAGCAACACTGTAAAAAAAAAAAAGCCCCTTTTTACAGTCTAAATATATTTGCACCATCATATGTACTGGTAACAGTTTACAATGATACACTTAGTATTTTTTAGCAGGCTTTAAACTTTCTTTGACTTTTCAATTTATTATTCAACTGGAAAGCCTCACAACAATGCCATGAGGTAGATCATTTAATGTCCCATTTGGTAGGTGGAAAATATGAGGTAAAAGAAACTTGTGCAAGGACATGCAGTTCATATGGGGCAGAGCCAAAACATGAGAGAACATCACTCAACATGTCAGATATCAAACAAAAAATAGGACATATAAATCACGTTTTAAAAATGTACTTTTCCAGGGGCGCCTGGGTGGCTCAGTGGGTTGGGCTGCTGCCTTCGGCTCAGGTCATGATCTCGGGGTCCTGGGATCGAGTGCCGCATCGGGCTCTCTGCTCAGCAGGGAGCCTGCTTCCCTCTCTCTCTCTCTCTCTGCCTGCCTCTCTGTCTACTTGTGATCTCTCTCTGTCAAATAAATAAATAAAATCTTTAAAAAAAATGTACTTTTCCAAAAATAAATCTTTTTCATTTTTCAGATTACTTATGGCCTTCTGTTTTTATTTGTGTTAAAATGTTATTGAATTGAATTGAGCATTGAATTATTTAAATCAGTGTACAGTTTCACAGGTACTTAGCAAAAAAGCTATCAGCCTTATGAAATGTAAATATAGTTACACAAAAGCACATATTCATTGTTATAGAACTTACATGGCAGAAATTTATATGTTTTGTAGACAGATTTTTTTTCCTGTTTCTACCAAAGACTGTATTTACTTACCTTTTATATAAAAAGATCTGTCTTCAATCAGACACATCTTAAATTTGCTAAATATTGTCCAGAAAGCTTTGGATATTTTTCTGCATATAAAAGGAACTGTAAACATTTGTGTTTTTTTTTCTGATTTTTCTATTGATATTTAGTTAATAGTAGTTATCAACTCAGAAATTTGGTGACATTTTCTTTTTAAAAAGAAAGTGTACATGGATGGCGTTTTTTATTATATCTTAATATTAAGACATAAATAACAACTAGGAAATTTTTAAGGTTGTATTTATCTTGTTTGCATATATTGCCGCTAAATTCACATACATAGAAATTAACAAAACTTTGTCACTAAAAAAACAGAAAGGTTAGATTTTTCTCTGATAAATTGGAACAAATCTAGCACTTGAGATCTCACATCTGCACCCTGAAGATGAATACTGCTACATGTCTCTAGTCACAACCCTGGTGACAGATGACCATGCAGCTGCAGCTGTGCTTATGAGCAGACACAGTCCCAAATATACTGAGAGATCAAAAATGATTCTGAAAATCTAGTAGATCATTTAAGGTGTTTTTTTTTGTTTGTTTTGTTTTGTTTTTACAGTGTAATTTAAGCATTCTGAAACTACATGATTCTAAGGAAGGGACAGTTTTTAAAAAGTATATTGTTTTATGGAGTCTAAGGTACATTAATAATAATTCATAATAGCTAGTCCATATTGAGATACTGTGTGCAGACACTGTTCCAAGTTCTTTACTTTCATGAATGCATTTAATCCTCATAACAACCATATGAGGTAGGTACTATTTTTATTCTTATTTTAGAGATGAGAGTGCTAATGCACAGAGTTGTTAAGAAACCTGTGCAAGGGGGCACCTGGGTGGCTCAGTGGGTTAAGCCTCTGCCTTCGGCTCAGGTCATGGTCTCAGGGTTCTGGGATTGAGCCCCACATCCGGGCTCTCTGCTCAGCAGGGAGCATACTTCCCCCTTTCTTTCTGCCTACCTCTCTGCCTACTTGTGATCTCTCTCTCTGTGTCAAATAAATAAATAAAATCTAAAAA